TAACCGCCTTTTGGCCTGTTTAAAAGAGGGTCAAAAGATCAGTTTTTGACCGCGTGTAAGCAAGGCTTACACGCGGTCATGATGTCATATTTTGGCCGCCAACGAACCTGGCAAAAAGGCGTCAAGAAAGCCACGTTTTGTCCAGGACAAAACAAAGGCAGAAGGGCACGTGTAACCAGCGATCGACTAACGATCGCACGAATCGCATCCCTTTTGCCTTTGTTTTGGCCTAGACAAAATTTGATCTTTGCGACGTGTTTTCGCCTGGCTTGTTGGCAGCGAAAACATGACATCATGGCCACCTTTTGTCCTGGCGACAACGTGGCGTAAACATGATCTTTGCGCTGCCTTTGCGAAAGGCTGAAACGAGGTGAGAATTGGACAAATTGGACTTCTTTTGGACTCCTTTCAGCCATGCTTCCAGAGCCAAATGCCTCCTGTGTCAGCACCCCTGACACCACTGAAGGTGTGGTATGGCGCTCAGCACCTCAAGCGCCACCAACCTACTTCTCGTCGACCCTTCGCCAACTGGACACACAGCTCAATATTCGGCGCCCGTTACAAGATACACGCGTCGAGCAGTTCGCGGAGAGATCGCAGCCTCGGTGCTTTAACCTACGCGCCCTTCGCTGAATGTCGATGTGTGTGGCTGATCTCTATGGCTTGATACGAAAGTTTATCTTCGGCTGCATCTCCGCCGCGTATCATACCGGCGGCTTCAGTATAGTGACCTGTCGTGCATCCAGCATGGCGAACTCGATGCGTGAGGACGACGTTCTCTTTCGAACGGCTGCCCTATTGTCGTATGCATGTCCAACTTCTTCTGAAAATTACTAGGGATGAGTTGCCGCACAGGAGCTTTGGGGAGGTAATGCATACAGGCTTTACACCAGGTTGAATCACGATACGGCCAGTCGATGGACAATGGTTCGGAAGCGCTAGAAAGAATCAGATGCTTACCTCGCCCGCTCTCGTTCAATTACTTGTATAGGATGAGTTATCAACGATGCATATCTCTGGGAATCAAGACATCGATACAGATTGGTCGAATATATCTTAGATTTGAATTAGGCAGAGATAAGATAATCAATTCGATGAGTTAGGGTTATCAGCACATGATATGTCGGTTCCAAGTTCGAATGGGGCTTGCATCTGACCACCATCATATGCGAGATGGCGTACCTCGTCTTTCCTGACTTGTCAAAGAGTGAGCTCCACAATCAACTAGGACCGAGCGTGCGCGAAATGCTTCGCTTTAGAGCGGCATACGGGGTGCCAATCACTTGCATGCGGAATGGCTCGGCCGTGGGGAACAAAGCTGAATGGGATCGAGGGTCCGACGAGCTCCTTCGGGGACTTGTGGCGACTTATTTGGCCGGAGGCGGAGTCGACTACACGTTCTAGCATCGAACCATGAGAGGTGCTTCACCATGTTTTGCGCGCACGCGCGTCCACGTCGCATGGAGGTCTTCCGCAGAATATAATGTTCGGCCTGTGCATATAATACTATCATACAGACAGATCCCACAAAGTAGTTCAATGGCAAGTCGAGTGCGTTGGTGAGCGCAAGGGTTACAGCGCTATAGACGGAGAATCGTCAACCTCTCCTCTTCCAGACAAAGTAACCCTCAGCTCAGTTACTACAGGGTTGCCTCAGACAGCGATGCTGAGATAGGCAATGCCATTCGATACGTATGCACCGCGTTGGTTGTTACCTTTCGATAGCTCAGTCGAAGCAGCGCGGGACTGCAAACGGGTGCCGACAAGATGCACTGTTCATCTTCCGGGCCAAGTTGCGCTTAATATTTCGTAATCACTCTCAACCTACATGACACAAGACGCGCAAAGCCATCCTGTACGAATACCCCGGGTTGTTGTCAACCCTTCGATAGCTCAGCTGGAAGAGCGCGGGACTGTAATTGGCTGCCAAAAACTCGAATGCATTCGAAACGCATACCAATCCCGAGGTCGCTGGATCGACGCCGGCTCGAAGGACTGGCGTAGGGGAAGAGGTTTTTTATACGCGTTGTTGTCAGTGTTGTATCCCGCCCGCAGGTGGGCTGGCATTGGCAAGAAGCGATGACACTGTATGTAGGACAGTCTTACGATCAAGATCCTAGGCTGCACATCGTGAACGGGGAGCGCTTCGGTTTTGAGGCGGCCATGAATCGAACGGTGCACCTCCTCCGTATACTTAGACGTGATGAGGCCAGTCCTTAGCCGGGTAGAGCGGCTTGACTGGCGAGGCGTGGTGGTACAAGCGCTACGCGAGACGACCAGATATAAGCCGCGCCTATTGATAGCCATCCAACCCGTGAATGAGACGTAATGGATCCATATTCACTCTTTCTAAGCACAGAATAGCGGTAAATATAGCGCCGAGTACACGGTGGTTCGGGTGAAAGGCGCGCTGAAGGGCGGGGACCCACATGAAACCACAGTTCGATGTTCGCACGCAAGCGGCGTAAGGCTCTTCGAGTAGCAACGGGCGCAGTCAACTACAAACCGCGATGAGCGTCGACGGGCAGCACCCCTCCCGCGCCCCAATGTCCCTCGACGGCCACACCCACCCACACGACGACCACCCTTCGGTCTCTTCCGGTCTGCCCTCGGACGCCTACTCCCGCCCATCTCTCTCCCTCTCCAGCAGCACATCCATATCCCCACCTCCAGACCGCGACGATAAACGATCCTCCTACACCGGCTCCCTAACCGCCAAACCATTCACTCCATCCGTTGCCGGCGGTGGAGGTGGCGGACCCTCTCAAGCGGCTCTAGCCGCCGGCGCCGATTACATCTCGTTATCCGAACAGCCCGAGGCTCCTCCGCTCGTGGACGCATCGTTCGACGAGGATGTCTTGCGCGCGTTATGCACTCTCGATTGTTCAGTACCCCTTATGACGGACCGTCTCAAACAGGATCTGGCGGCTACGAAGGAAGTGGCTGGATTCTTGAAACGGCGGGCGGCAGTTGAAGACGAGTACGGGCGGAAACTGTTGAAGACCGCTCGATCGACCGCAGAGTCGTACGCTTTGTCAGACGGAAAGGCTGGGAGCTTTGTGAATGCGTGGAGCCAGTGTCTCCGGATCCACGAGCGGATGGGGGAGAACAGGGTCCGATACGCGTCCCGACTACGAGAAATGGCGGACGATCTTGGGAAGCTGAGCGCGGAGACGGAGAGGGCGCGACAGACGCATAAGGATGCGGCCGAGAGCGCCGAGGCGGATCTGAGGGCGAGCGAGCAGAGCACCGAAAAGGCAAAGTTGAGGTTGGACGGCAGCGCAGATGAGCTCGAACGGTTGTTGCTGGCCAAAGAGGGAGAGAGCGCCAAGGACGGGGTCCAGATTCGACCGCCTGGGGCTGGAGGGACTGGCAAGAGGGCGTTGGGAAAGGCTACAGCTCTACTCAAGGGACGCGGGCCAGCTGCGATCCAGCGACAGGAGGAGGACGTCCGCACACGCTTGAACGCCAACGGCGTATCGTATAACAAGTCGATGGAGGACACCCAGAAACGACGTCAGGAATACTTTGGCTTTCATTTACCCCGCACACTTCGAGCTCTCAAGGAGGCAAGCGACGAGATCGATCTCGGCACACAGTATCATCTCCAGCGTTACGCTTTTCTTACGGAGAGCATCGTCATGGCAGACGGTCAGATCTTGGCGCCTACAACCAATACCATCGGCAAGGATGGGAAGGAGGAGGATAATACGGGATTGCAGGCTGCGCTCGCTGCGTTGGATTATCGTGCGGATTTCAGGGTTTATATGCAGAATTATGCGTATGCGCATGGGGGGACTGCCAAGGGCCCGAGGAGGACAGGGCCCGAGCACGAGGGTTTCGTGCGTCTCTTTGTTCTATCCATTGTCTACAAAAGCTGACTGCCACTCTCAACTTTGCCTTTGTCCGCCACTTGTCACTCGCTGCATATATAACAATTGCAACCATCGCGAATTAAAACGGACGCCACTACCGACGACCATGCCTTTTCCATTCCGTCTACGTTCCCAGCTCCCCCCACTCCCTCAACACGTCCCATCACCCCGTACCGCCCTCCCAACCAACGGTTTCCCTCCACCCCCCACATCCGCCTCATCAACCACAACACCTCTCCCACCTCCACCCCCTCTCCAAATTCCACCCCGCGCCACATTCGGCATCCCCCTCTCCTCCCAACTCTTACGGGATAACGCCGAGATCCCACCGATCCTCATCAAACTGACGTCTTTCATCGAGAAGTACGGGTTGCTTTCTCAAGGGATATATAGGTTGAGCGGAACGATGAGTAAGATTAATAAATTGAAGGGTCTTTTGGATGAAGGGTTGGATAAGGTCGATTTGGATAGGGAGGAGTGGAAAGGGGACGTTAATAATGTGGCTAGTGCTGCGAAGGCTTGGTTTAGGGAGTTACCGGAGGGTGTTATGACGGACGCTTTGAGGTTGGGGTTCTTGGACGCTGCAGGTGCGTCGAATACATTTGATACGCTCTGGGATAGGTGCTGATTTGGGGGTTAGCGATCGAGAACGATAGGTTGAGGCATATCAGGTTACATGAACGTATCAACGACTTGCCGGACGCGAACTACGCCACGCTCAAGTTCTTCCTCGGTCCGTTCTACTCTTTCTCCCTCCCTCTCCAGTCTATCTGACTGACCGCACGAAAACAGGTCATCTATCACGTATAGCTCAACACGCCGACGCGAACCAGATGTCAGTCGGGAACCTCGCTATCGTGTTTGGGCCTACGCTTTTTGGATCGCCGGCTGGGGCGGGGCAGGGGAGTGGAGGGGGCGGAGAGTTGGTCTTGCAGAATAAGGCGCGTTTTCCTTCCCCTCTGCTCACAGTCGGGCGCTCTTGATGGTGGACATGCTGTTTTATCACTAACCGTTATCCTTTACGCAGGCCATCGAGACTATATTGGAACATTATGCCGATATCTTCATCGACGAGGGCGAGGCGGAACAACCCGGGCCTGCGGTACCGTAACGTTTGAGTGTTCTCTAATCCTCTCCCCGCTCCCGCCTTCTCCCGAACCCTGCGGAATGAATCAGCGCCAACCTCGCATAGCACGGACGCTCCGACTTGTATCAACTTCTACTTACTATCCAAACACTCCACGCCTCGCCGACCTGGACCCGTCTCACTCATTGCTATTATATTCGCACTCGTCCATCGCTAGCGGTCACACCTCCTCCCGAACTTTACCCTCTCTCGCATTTTGTATACCACGCACCTCGTCCCCGTTCCCGTTCTCCCTGACTGATCTCCTATATCCTCCACTCCTGTGCGCTGGGACGTGCAATCCCATCCACGGTATCACTCGTCGTGTTTTATGTTGACTGATTATATTGACGCGTGGCCTTGAAAAAGGCCTGGAAGTTGTTATTTCGCGTATTTTATTCTTATTCGCAATCTGATTTTGGAGGTTTTGTATCTCTGTGTTCAGGGTCCCTCGTTCGAAGTTGGGGCTCAACGTTGCTGTGCTGCAACATTGCCGGACGGTGGGAGAGCCCTCGCGTAGTCCCCCGGCTGGACACTCTTCGCCTTCAGAGCGGCGCTTACTGAATCCCTCAGATGCAGTCTCTGTCCTCGATCGATTTCTGAACACACCATGCACACTACCGTTCCATCGTCTGTGGTCGGTAAGTGTACAGCACACATCAGTCACTGTCCCCGATCAGGGTAACCGGTGCCCAGCCGGCGTTCTTCCAGCTGAGCTCTCGAAGGGTGGACGTTTGGACTCCAACTGGATCATATTTCGGGTGGAGCGAAGTTGAAGGAGAGACTCAGACCTCCAGTCGGAGGACTGGTAAACGCGGTAGAGGACGCGCGATGCGATGTAGCAGGGTTAGGGTTAGCATACAGACGCGCGCGCTCCGACACGACGTTCGATGTCGGACGCACCTCATTCAAACCGTCTGCGAGCTACCCCGCGGCCTTGTATGGCTTAAAATCTGCTCTTCCTCATTCTTGATCCTCTGAAAGTTGTCCAAGAACTGAATCAACATGGATGTAGACTCGTGGACGTCATATCATAGAACGAACTAGTAAGCTGGCAGTTAGATCCTTCATCGGGCACGTACCAATCTCTCGCGCCTGTTCATGCTTTCTTGCGACGTTCACGCTTGAGAGGTCAGCGTCTATCTCATTCAGCTCTGTCCCAGAAGAGTTAGATGCTTTGGTGATGCATATCGGGACACTGCGACGCACACGTCATGATTCGATACCTGGATGACCGACCGAGTCTGTCCGAGGCATATATAACGCCACGAGAGCCTGAATTAGGACATCCATACGCCGATATAGACACAGGTTTCTGAGATTTCTAGGCGTACGCGCGCTGAATACCCGGGGGGGGGGGGTGTTCATAGTACTGTCGTCTTGACCACAGTCTATCCTACGCGTATCCGCGCGAACATAGAGCCGTGAGCCGCTCCGTGCGAATATGAGCTTAACCCAACGAAGACTCATGGGCACGGCATTGTCCCATTCGCTACCCCAGCAGCGGTTAGTCTCCCACAAGGAGTGTCCGTGCGAATCTGATTACACTGTCAGTTTCATGGAGTAGTCCATGGATGACGAGAGGGATAATTAGATATGCCATGCCAACCGCAGAGCAAAAGCGCAGTAGTACAGGTGCGCGGCAAGACCAGGCTTAGCGCGAGCGCAGTGCCCAGGTGTCTGGCAAGCCTCCGTTTTGTCCTCTCAGGCCGTCTACCTGGCATAGTAAGTCGAGTTAGTGCCCACTTAGAAACAGTATAGCCGCCAAGAGTAGCTCGTGCGTGGGTGACCGTCGTAGCTCCGCGATTGCATGAGAGATTGCTGACGGCTTGGCCATGTTGTTCGGTAGCCCTTAACCCACATTTAGCGCTTTGTACGGCCCTGAAAGCCACGAAAGACGGGCGGAGCTCACGAAGAGATACACGGAGTTCGGTATCATTGAGCTTGAAGTTTAGATGAAGATGCGTCGCAGAGCTCGATACACTGACTGTGGA